TGGAAACACTGTGGAAGCAAACACTCCAGAAACATGGATCCAGAAGAGGAGGAACTTGCACAACTATGGAAGAAAATGCAAAAGACAGAAGAAATAATTGAAACTATAGATAAACAGGTACAAGAATTAAAAAAAAATCACAAGATAGCGAGAGTACTAAATGCAATTAATAATATTAAGACCAAAATGGCTGAAGTGTCCAGCAGGCTGGAAGAAAAAAAAATGACCTTGGAATGTAATGGCTATTGTAAAATAATACATTTGATGTAGCTATAAAAAAAAAAAGAATGAGGATTCTATATACTTCTTCAGGGTATTTTACTAAATAAAAAAACAGAGTAGAGAAATAATTATATGCAGATATTTATCTCAAGAGGCAGGGTAGGTGACACCTCAAGCCAATGTAATAGATTTAGTAGACATTTTTTTAATTTGTACCTGTTTGTTTATATTAGTAATAATAAAAATACCAATAATAGCAGGACAATGCTCTTTATAATGATTACATGAAGGAAATATGTGGGGAAAGGCAGAGGGATCAAGTATATAGAAATCAACTTTCTAAATATGGCTTGGTTGGGAAATTTATATTTTAAACCATTATGAAACAAAATTAAATCTAAGAAGGGAAGTGTAACAGGCAAGATTTACCCTTTTCCTTAAACACTTCGGAAAACATACAAAATACAGAAACAACATTTTCAGGTATTAAACAATAGTCAGTGTACATAAGAAGAGAAACTAATTGCCTGAGAAGAGAGACTAATAATGTCAACCCTATGATTGTGCCAGGAAACTCCCTAGAAAAAATTTCCAGGCTATTGCTCAAGAGAAGTGCGAACCCAAACAGAACTCATACAGGCTTGCTGAATTCAAGAAACTAAATTCAGTTTGTTATTGTTGTGTACCATCAAGTTGAAACCAACCCAAAGCTGACCCTCCAATGGTTTTCAGAGGCAATTAATTGCATGGGAGGACATTGCCTGTCCTTCTCCCGCAAAGCAACTGATGGAATTTGAACCACATGTCTTCATAGTTGCAGCATAGCTTCTTGCCGCTAAGCCACCAGAGCTCTCAAAATTCCGAGTTTAGGGAGCCTCAAGTGTCTACAGTTTGTGAGCATAGTATGAGGAAAGAGTTACCCAGAGAGAGCTCTCTAGAGAGCTCTGTAAAGTTCTTTCTGAGTTCTTCACTGAGTGTTGATCAACAAATGAGGAAATTACCAGAAGGTAGAGAAAGAACACAGAAAGGAGCAGGCCAAATGGTCTCAAGAGTTTACACGATTCGTATTGCCACAGTGTGGAAAGATTTCTTGACATCTGGGACACTGAATAGAGCTCACAGTAATGGGACCAAACTAACCCCAGCCTAACATTTGTAGTAACCAACTTTAAAAAAGCTTATAAACGCCCTTTAGAGTAGTGAGAGAAGATCTTCACCCTGAAACCCACAGCGTCCCTTTTCAGCAGGAAGTAGCTAAGAGAATACGCCATCCCCTTTTCCTTATGAATCAGGGTGAAGCCTCTCTCAGGGAGGAGTGATAGGGAATGGCAAAGGACACACCGACAAAGGAGATTAATCAGAACTGACTTTGACAAGCAATGTGGCAATTGGACAATTAAAACAGACATTCGGATGGCGGGGGAAGAAGAACAAACTGGGGAGGAGGGTAGAGAGAATGGTGCAGCAATGAAGGAATGAAAACCCAAAATCCCTGTAAATGTTCATTAAAACTAATAAAATTTAATAATTAAAAAAAAAGCTTATAAACAAGTTTTGAACAGACCAAACTATTTTCAAATAATTTAATTGTATTCTAGAATAAAGCCACATGATCTTTAAAGGGATACGAAACTGTCAGGCACCCAAAATACAGCAAGATTCACAATGTCAAATGATACTAGAAGTGCAAAGTCATAGGGTAATATGACCCTAACAAGGATAAAGAAAAAGTATTCCATTTAAACATACTCAGAAATAAAACAATTGTCAGAATTCGGCAAAATCATTAAAACAGCTATCTTACACACACTCTGTCTCTCACCCCCCCTTACTCACCCTCTCTATCCATGTTAAGGAAGATTGAGGAAACCATGAGTGTGATAGAAAGACATGAGAAAGATATAACACAGGATCCTTTCTGAGGGTTCATCACATACTTTCTGATGAAGAATAAAATATCTAAGATTAAAATGCATTGAATGGTATTAATAGCAGATTTAACAGGAAAAAATAAAATTTTTTAAAAATGAACAGAGGGGCATTGAGCATGGGAAAACTTCAGGATTTTAAAATCAAGGTAGCATATTTTCTTTAGTTCTAGTGCCATGTTTTATACCTCTTTCTAAAAGTACCTTTGCCTCCACAGGCATTTGGACAGCAGTGCCGAGCCTGGACTTACCTTAGGAGGCTATTTCTGCCCACAGTGTCGGGCAAAGTACAGTGAGCTCCCTGTTGAATGTAAAATATGTGGTAAGAAACTCTTCATTCTTTATTCAAAAAGTTAACCTTAAAGAGCTTTTATACTTATATTACTGCTAATGTAAATGCAAACCTTAAGTTCTGCCTACACATCTGAGTTTAAATCTGTGAGAGTAGAAATAGATTTTTTTTTAAATTTTTTTTATTATTATTCATTGGGTGCAAAGTTCTCCACTTCCAAGAATAAATAAAGTATGCTGGAAGACTTTTCATATTCTTTCTCTTTCTGGAAAAACATTATTATGTAAAGAGCTTGTGATAGTTGTAGTAGATGTTTGTAGCACTTAGCAGCATTAAATATATAGAATTATAATTGGAAATAAAAGTGATTGGATTATAGAATTTTCTTTCATCTAAGCAGATACACAAATATCATATAGTCCTTTAGCAACAAAATCAAAACTATCTTAGAAATCCCATTAATAATGTGGAGAAATAAATACTAGGAACCCTATAAGAAGCATATTATTTTTTAGTCTAACTTATCACATATGATTTTTTAGCTCTTTCCCCTATGGCCTGTGAACTATCAAGTGTGTCTCTGTTTTTTATGTGTTAGGTCTTACGTTGGTGTCTGCTCCCCATCTGGCACGCTCTTACCATCATTTATTTCCTTTGGATTCTTTTCAAGAAATTCCCATGGAAGAACATAACAAAGAAAG